GGCCGCCAGCTCCGCGCCATCACTGGGAAGCGGCCGATAGGTGGTCATAGTCCACGGGCGCGCGCGCTGGGGCTGCAGCGGGCCGCCGGGAGCTGTGAGGCGACTCTATGGGGCCCCCCAGCCCTCAGCCATTGTTCAGGGCCGCCGGCCCCTGGACGAAGGAGGATGGCCCCCGAAACCGGACGGGAAGGTCGTGCGCCTGTGGAGGCCAGCTCTCCACCATCGCTGTGCACCGCTGGGCCAGGACCGCCTCAGGAGGCGGGCGCTGTCCTGGGGGCCGTGGACGGAGGGCCGCTCCGCATGGCAGGGCGAAGCGCTGGTGATGTCCAGGACTGGCGGGCTGCAGGGGTCCTCCCGCCGTGCTGCAAAGGGGAAGAGAAGACAACGTGAGGGGCGGCTGCGGCGATGGGGCTGTCCCGAGAATAAACACGGGCCACGGCAGGTGGAGCAGCCCTTGAACATGCACTTAGAGGAGTCACCGTTGGCGCGATTTCAAACCCACTCAGCGGGAGAAGACGACCATGGAGTCCCCACGTACCCACCAACGATCTATCCACACCTACAGTGTTCCACCTAACACGAAACTCACCACTTTAAAGTAGAATTCAGTGTGGTTTTTAGGCTATTCGCTAGGTGTGTAACCTTTACCAACTATCCAGTTATGGAATATTTACCCCCATAAGAAACCTTACCTGTTAGCACTCACTCCCAACCCCCCACAGAAGTCTAAAGACACCCCCACACATCAAGACATTCTACCTTTAAACATCTTACCTTGATAGTCTTTTTAAAAAAATAAAGTCGTCAGATGACTATCATGAGACCATGAGCATACTCATCAGAATTATTTAATGCCGTCTACAGCCCTGTCTTGGTGGTGAAGTGGTTATGCATTAGGCTATGATCCGAAAGGCCAGCAGTTTCAAATCACCACAGGCTCCTTGGGAGAAAGACGGGGGTTTCTACTCCCAAAGAGTTACAGTCTTGAAAATTCTTGGTGGGCAGTTTTACCCTGAGTTTTTGAATGACTTGTTACCTGCATTAAAATACCCCCCATTGCCTCAAAAGTGTCCTCTTGGAGTTGGTTTGCTCAAATCACGATCCAAACTCACGTCACACTTGGCTCTGGTAGATGAATTTCTTAAAGCTCTTCTACTCTAGAAAACCCCCCTGCTTCCTTAGATCTGATGTCATGTACTTGAAGGGACCAGGGCCCTTGTCCTGTAGCTTCCTGCTTTCTGGACCCGCTGGCCATGCCCTGCCGTGCCGTCTGACGCCTTCCCCTGACCCTTTGTAGTTCCTGTAAACTGGTGGCTGTGCGTGGTGCCCAAATTCTTGTCCAGCTGCTCCGCAGGCAGCCCCCCCAGAAAGGAAGTGAGAACGCCGGAGGGCTTGAGGGGAGGCAAGCCAGAAGGGGACGCCGGGGACGCCCTGGGAACCTGTGATGAACGGACACTACGGAAGAGGGGCCTCTGCTCCCATCAAGAGCTACCGGCTCAGAAACCCACAGGGGCAGCTTTACCCTGTCTTTCAGTGTCATCATGGGTCAGCACTGACTTTTTATTTTCTGATTATGAATGGGTACATCAGCCCCTTTCTCTCAGAGGCTATGGACTTCCCAGTGATTGACACTAAAACCCAAATGCCTCCCAACTTACAAGACCCCTAAGATCTTGCCCCTGCCGGCCTCCTTGGCATCTCTCCTCTCCCCGGCTCAAGTCCACTCACATTGGCCTTCATTTCTGTTCTGACCCCCGAGCTCAGCCCAGGCCGACTGGATCGTCTCTGCCCTGCTCCTTGGCAAGCTGGTTCCTTTGCTGATGCCAGCTCTTCAAGCACCTCCCCCAGCCCCCAGTGTAGGTGGGCAAGTCCCCGCCGCCCTCAGACCTTTCTCACCACCTGCTCTGCTTGCTTTTCCTCCTCCTTAGCAGATCCCAACTGCAATGGTTTGTTCATGACCCATTTGCTGGCTGCCTCCGCCACGGCAATGTCAATTCAGCGCCAGGGCTGTTGGCGCTGCTCATGCAAGAGTCCCCAGCAGGGAGAACGGCGTCCAGGACGCTCGTCCATGTGTATGTGCCAACGCCCAGCCGTGGCTGCTGCCTGGCCGCTGTGCAGGTGCCTACTGACGCGTAGTCCTCCAGGGAGGAGTTGACATCGAGGCCAAGCAGCACAGCACCCTCCATGGGATCAAGCCCCCTTTGTCTCCATCTCCATCTTCTGAGCGTTGTGACCCCAATAACCATGCCCCGTCTTGCTTCTAACAGAGCTGATCTTGTTCAGAGACAGAGGGCCAGTCTGGTCAACATTAATTGTTACTTCAAATGCAAGGAAACTAGAGGCGCCCGCGGAGGTGTGTTGTGTGGATAAGGGGGCCTTCCCTAACCTAGATGTGCCGGGTGAGTGAGGTCACATAGCTATACTGAGGAGGAGCACAGCTTCTGAGGAAGGAAACTCTTTGGGGGTGCAGCCCCTTCCTGTTTCTCAGGAGCATGGGGGCAGCAGAGGGGACGGGCACAGAAGGGGGTAGAAATGAGGCCACTGGAAGGCCCAGAGGGCTGGGTCGGCGAGGGGTGGTAGCAGGGAGGCCACCCTCCAAAGGGGCAGACCGATGGCCCCACCCTGGCAACGGAGCCTATGGGAATGTAGGTGCTAGGTGACCGGCGACAAATCAGTGCATAGCATTTTCCAGTAGAAACAGCGAAGAACTCCCACACCACCAACCCCAGGCTACCAAGCAGAGAGGACCGCTGGAAGAAGGGCATGGAAACAGATGCCAAAGGCCCAGGGGTGCAGGGGATGGTGGGGGGACTGGGCCTTTCCCTACTCCCAGCCTCTGTCCCTTAAAGCCCTCCTTCCCCTACTAAACGCCCTCATTTCTTTTTTGACTGCCTTCACCCCACCTTGAGAATCTGGGCAGCTGCTAGACCCTAGTGTCTGAATAGTTGTGCAAAACAGTGGCAACGTCTTCAATTAGTTGCACGCGTTTCTGGTCAACAAATAAATGCCTTTTACGAACATCACCAACAGACACCACCGTGAGGGTCGAGAAATATGAGCGGGCTTCTGGGGACAATGGAAATGGAAACATAATGGGGTCTTCCCAACACCTTTTGGAAGCCCCCTCCTACCGTAGGCTGGGCCGGGGCAGGGGAGCAGCACTCGGCTGCTCTGCCAGAGATGACGGATGGAGCCCAGGGCTCCACTCAGCGGGGCTCTGTCTCCCAGGCCGAGTGAGGGCACCGTTGCGGGGCTGGCAGGCCAGCCTGCACAGGAGCCCCAGCCTGGGCTCAGCCTGCGCCGAGCGTAGGGAAAGACCAGCTCTTTGAGGCCAGTTAGCGAAGCAGGCGGTGCAAACTGGCTCAGACTTGCTTGTGCCAGCACCTCCTGGCAGATGGGCTTGGTTGCCAGCACTCTGCTTCCAGCCCGGTCAGAAGCCCCCAATCCAATTTGCTCCCCTCTGTGAAAATACACAGATGTTCTTGTCGGCCCCAGTCTCTGCACAAATCCCTCTCTGAGCAGGTGTGGCTGGGTCTGCCTGTGACATGCAGACGGGGAGCGGCACCCCCAGACTCTCCAGGTCCCAGGGATTGGTACAGGCTTGCTCCCTTCCCAGCTGTCTCCCTTCAAGCTCACCCTTCCTAAAAGCACCCGGACCTTCCTGATGGGAAACCCTCATGGAACCACCGAGCCTGCCGGGGTTCAAATCCAGACTGGTCGCCCACAGGCTAGTTAGATAGGAGATGCTGCCTGGCCCGGTGCCAGCCCCAGGACCCATGGCGGAGGATCGTTGCAACCCATAGGGTTTTCATTGGTTGATCTCCGGTAGATCACCAGGTCTCCCTGCTGCCCCAGCACCTGCTCCAATTACCCCTATATTGTGTATCTTTGGCGGAACCTACCCTGTGTGCATGGGCGCGTGCGCGCGCGCGCGCGCGCACACACACACACACACACAGAAACACAGCCTTGAGTGGGCCTGCAGGCTCTCCTGGGGCCCCGCACAGGGCTCATGAGGGCAAGGAGGGTGCAGGGTATACTGGTAAATGGCAGGGGGAGCTGGCATTCCCCAGGAAATGGCTTCTGTCGGGGCTCCTTCTCTCCTTGCTCCCCCACCTTTGTCCCCTAATTTCTCAAGCAAGACTGCTCTTCTGACCTCCTGGAGATTCTGTAAGCCTCAGAGAAGTCCCAGGCTTGCCCAGGCTTAGCCTGTGCTGCTGGCATACGAGGCTGCTGCGTGACACGGGGGCTGTGGGGGCTGTGGCTGAGGTGGCGAGTAACCAGCGGTGTGAAGAGAGGGGCGCTGAGGTGGGAGAGTCGGTCCGGCCGCATTTGCTGCAAGTAACAGCGTACCACCCGGCGGGGCCTGGGGTACCGACACATTTAATGGTCTCAGTAAGAAGGAGACCAGAGATGCCCGGCTGGACCCTGAGGACAGCAGGCCCTTTCCCTGGGTCCCTCCGCCTCCCTCCTGTGCTGCTGGCTTCCCTCTCGTGGTGCAGTGCCTCACAGCCACAAGATGACAGCCACAGCCTGCTTCTCACGGAACCACGGGTCAGGGAGGACGGGCAGGGGTGATGTCAGAATGTGCCAGCCACCAGTCTGAAGCAATCAGGGAGAAACATCTTTTCCAGAACCTTCCCTCCCCCCTTTCCCACTCCTCCGTGGAGGTGTTTCCATGTCTCAGTGGCCAGAAATTGGTCACATGGCCATGCCAGCTGACAGGGAGGCTGAGAAGGCCAGGAGCTGTGATGGTCCTGACTGGCTTGTCCTTGGGCCAGTCAGGACTCACCCCCGGGGGCTGGGCAAGGGGCAGCATCTCAGAGGGGAAGCCTGTGTGTTTCCCTCCTGCTCGGCCTGCAGAGACCCAGAAAGGCAGTGTGGCCCCCATCGAACAGGTACCTCGGAGCCGGTCCAGAGGCCATGGTACGTGCCTGCCTACCTGCATGACGGTGTACCTGTGTGCAAATGTTCCCAAGTTGTCACTGAGGGAGCGGGGGACTCCAGCCAGCACCCAACAGCCAGGAGGCTGGGACAGTAGAAGGTGCTGTAGTTTGCTTCTCTGGTTTAACTTTGGTGGGGGGGCTCCCCTCTAGGGCCCTGCCCTGACTCTTAACCAATAGACTAGAGGTGTGGGAAGTGGAGGGCACCTCTCTCTGGCCCAGAACAAACCATGAGACTGGGTCAGAACGGATGAGACCCGGGGAGGTTTACCCAGGAGCGCCGAAGTCTGCGTGTGAGAGGGCGTGAAGGAGGGAGCCACAGCGGCCCCCAGAGAAGGGACTGAGAGCTGAGAAGCGGGGGGCTGCTGTCCTCCTCTCAATCTCGACGTCAAATGGCACCCGCAGGCGGCCCACCCCTG